TCAGCCCATGATCATGAACTGAAGAGCTCTCGGTCATACGACACCTGAAAAGTTCCTTAGATATCTGATATCTAATCTGCCGCGTCCTATCACCATACAACTCTTGTAAGTGAAGGAGAATTTCAGAAGCATTATTCAACAATTCGTTCTGTCTCTGCAACTCATTAGACATAGATGCTAACATGTAGCACCGAGCCTGGAGATTGTCATCTGTATGACGTAAATACTCTCCATACTCATCAGATGTCTGATCCTCTGGTGGAGGAGGAGGGGCTCTGTCCAGTACATATTCCCTCTTCTCAGACTGAAGAACAATTTTTAGGTTCCTTAGCCAATCGTTAAAGTTGGGTCCAGTTAATTTGTCTTGTTCTAGTATACTTGCGATTGAATATTTAGCCATTTTCGTAGATTGATCTACAAAATAACAAACGAAGCAGAAAATAGTTAGACTATGGAATTTATATTCATTTAACATTAGGTCTTTAATATTAAATGTCTCCCACTATTTTAATTAAAACCCATTTTTCTTATGAAAATCTAATTTTTCATAGTGGGCTTGAAGTCCAATAAAAATATTCCATATCCCAATTTTATGAGTACGCATGGAACACTTATATCGGTAGTCAACTTTTGACAATTGTATCGCTATACAACCTTCGAGATATTTTGCCTCACCTTTCCTTATATACCTCAATTTTATGACCGTATATATTACTCAGTGTCAAATCAAACCCATCAAACATTCATGATAACGGCCCACCAGAGTGTCCCACGACTCATGGTCAACACAAAGAGGAATCCGTTTCATGAGTATATTTATACTTAGTAGGGATCATTGCTTTCGACACAAAACCACCCCACGACTCATGGTCAGTGATAAAGCATCGTAGCATCTCATGTCGTCTACTTTTGATGGAAAGCCTGGATTAATAAGTTCTAACTTATTTCTATCCATTATTGATTTGATATGAATTAATCTCATTAATTCTTTAGGGTTCCTTAGATCTCATCGATTACCATCTTTACGTTTATTTACCGTTTCATCCATCGCATGAATCACAAACATAAATAAACCTAACATACATCTAATGCATGCATTCGGTGGATGATCATGACTTTGCCTATGCGATCCATTCGAGCCAAAATGGATCTATGCCTATGCACGTGATAAAATAAATAAATAGAACTACTTCTATTACAATTTATTTTATCTACCCGTACAAGCACAGGCCTTCGAGTTTTATAACTTGTAAAATTACCCACACAAGCGTGGGCCTTTTGCATCGAACGGTCTCCACCTAGATCTAATCTCTAACGATACAAGAATTTAAAATTTTACAAATCATAACTCAAGAGACTTGCAGGTCTCGATAAATTACATTCATTCAATCTTATTGAAAAATTAAACCATTTAATCATATTGAATTAAAAGGCAACCATACAATCACATTGCATAATAAAATAGACATTCAATCATATTGAATATGAGGCTCATGATCATCCCATTCATCACATGAATTAAAACATAATAAAAAAAAAAATTATTAAGTCACACGACCAGTGTGACAAAGTCACACGACCAGTGTGAGTCCACACGACCCGTGTGATCCTATCACAGGACCCGTGTGAAAAATCCGTAAGAAAAAATCAAAATTTTCCTTAAGTCACACGACCCGTGTGGCTCAAGACACGGGTCGTGTGTCTCCACACGACTCGTGTGACTATGTCACACGACTCGTGTGAAAATCACGAACCAAAAACAAATTTTTCTTTATACTCACACGACCCGTGTGGCTCATGGACACGGCTCGTGTGAGTCCACACGACCAGTGTGACTTAGTCACACGACCCGTGTGGCTAAAAATCAAATTTTTTATTTATTTTGATAATTAATATGTTTATCATATAAACATTTAATTATCATACAAACTTAAACAAATCAAAATCTATTTTTAAAGATGATAACCGTGGCTCTGATACCACTGTTGGGTTCGCCTGTACCGTACGGGCTATACGCAGCGGAATTTAAAAATTTTCAAAACAAGTATTTAACACTTAAATACTTAACCCGTATATACATATGGCGAATTAACAAATCGTCATCTTTAAAAACATGTAATAATACAAATTTTGATTTATTACAAGTAATATTAGAAATTACAAGGAATATCAAATATTACCTTATAACTCTAACTCCTTCTTCTTGATGGTGGTTGAGGAAATTGGTTCCCGTATTAATAACGAACACTTCGGTTTGCTCGCTTTTAGGAATTCACTTGTCTTCCCTCTAAACGTATCCACCGTTTGCTTCCGACTACGAGATGACTCCTTCGCTAGTAGGAACTCACTCGATTTATAACTTAGTATAGACATATATAAATAGGATAATTTTACAAGAACAATTCTTGTTTACAAAAATGAAATACCAACTCTTTATCTCTCAAATTATAAGTGAAAATGTTAACACAAATTCTTGCAAAAATGAACATCAACCATGCCCATATTTATACTAAACTTTTTAGCAATAAAATATATATGACTTGTATAACTTTTACAAGAAATGTTACAAAAGTCTTTAATAATTTTGACAAGCAAAATTAAAAAAATCTTTATCTCATTTCTACAAGTTAATACAACAATATAATAATTGCAAGACTCCATCTTGTCATTATTATATTATTATCATTATTATTTAATTTTTAATCAACATTAAAAATCAATAATAATAATAAACAAATAATTTTAAACTCTTTTAAAATCATTTGTAAATATATATATTATATTTAATATTATCCTTTCATATAATAATCATATTATTATATGGATTTGAATTTTAAGATCCAATTTTAAAATTCAACTATTAATTTAGTAATTACATTAGTCACTAAATTAATATTAATCAATCCAATTGATTAATATAATATATTTATTTAATTGACATCTAATCAATATTAGATTTTGTCAATTAATTATAACTCTTTAGAAATACTAATATTTGTCTTTATACAAACATTGGTGTGACCTTTTAGGTTCACAATTAATACTAGTAGTGGGTTTACAACTCTTTGTAATTTGAGTTAATCTTATTAACTCTTATTCTTGAATTAACCCCTTTAATTCAAGAACCCACATATCATGGGAACACCTAGCAAGTAGCATGAATCTAGTATTAAGTGAATAGCGAGTAAACCTATTTTGATTACAAGTACATACATGTAGAATCCTTTCGACATCCAATTTCCCGATTAAATCCTGGGTATGATTTAGTCGAAACCCAAATTGATTTAATAACTATGATTCTATTTCATATTTAGTAATCCGTGTATGAATCCCTATTCATCCCGCTTTGGCCAAAGACTTTGAATTACTGACTATGAAACACATAGGAAATTCACTTATCTTCATAAGTGTCGAATGCTTTGTAGGCCACTAACAAACTTCCATACATATTAACATAATACCCAAAATATCCCTTTATACGATTGTGCTAGCAACCAAAAGGATAAATCAAAGTAGAATGTAATATGCACAAAGTTACCATTGTGCGTCAAGTCTTAGGATTAGTCATGTACTATTGTAACATGAAAATACTTATTCGACAAGACAAATCTTTCATCAAGTATTTTCATACGGTCATGTTCAGTGTACTTGTTCTCTAACAAGCACCCACATATATGTATTTGCGTCGCACGCTAATGTTGATGGAATGCAACATTCTTGTCCAACAAGCATACATACTATGTGCAAGTCTTTTATGGATTATTCAATATCCCATTTCAAAACATCCTTCGACTTGGAACTTTATTTAAAATCATAGCTTTCAAGGTATGTTCCATGATCACCATCTCTATGCGCAACCATACCTTATAACCATAAGTGATTTAGGGATTTTATCTTAAGTGCGATTATAGGATAAAAACTTACTCTTAAGATAAAGTAATGCCTTATTTACAATATAATTCCAATAGATAGTATTTACAAGTAGAATACGTCCAATCCGATTGGAACGCCGGGTATCCTACTCTAATAGTACCGACGGCAGCACTCACGCCGTTGCAAGCAGACCCGATCGTGACGCAACAGGTTGGACCATTGGTGCAGGCAGTGGTGACGCCAACAAGAGGAGTACTGCAACCCCATGCCCAACAAATTGTGACCATGACGAGGGAGAGGTGCAGAGGATGATGGCCAACGCGGCGGCGCAAGATGTGCAGCAGGTCACTCACCAAACATCCCAGGCTGCTACCACGCCGACCATGGTACCTGGGACGCAAGAGGAAGACGTGTCGGGTTATGGTGGAGGATGGGAGCATAGAGATAGGGCGATAGAGAGGATGGCCGAGCAGCTCCAGCAGCTGTAGGAGAAGGTGGAAGGAAGGCCGGACAGGCATGCTCGAGGACACCCGTTCTCGAGGGAAATTCTAGTTGCGCCGCTGCCCGCGAATTTCCGGGAGATAAACTTGATATTTGATGGGTCAAGTGATACGTCAAGGCATGTGAGAGCATTTTAAAACATGTATGTCTTGCACGGATACTCAGATCCGGTCAGTTGTAGGGCTTTCCTGTCGACCTTACGAGGAGGCGCGCTCGGCTGGTTCCACCAATTAACTCCCGGTTCGATCAAAGACTTTGAGGATTTTGCAGGACAACTTACCAATCAATATTCAAGTGCGGACACGCAAGAGAAGACGTACCTCACTCTAATGGCGATGTGACAAGGCGAGAAAGAGTCCCTGCGGAAATATGTTGCCCGATAAAATCAGATGTGTCTAGAAGTGCCCACGGCGGGCGACGAGGTGAAGGCGGGAGGATTGATTAGAAGTCTTCGATCAGGGCCATGTCGAACGTCATTGGCGAAGACGCCTGCTCGAACTTACGACGAGGTGCTTAAGAGATGCAAGAAGTACATCAATCTGGAAGAAACGGAGGCTGAGTTTGCCAAAATCGAGGAGGTGATGAAGCCTGGGCAGGGCAAGGGAAGGCCAAGCTCGCCCAAGAAGGGATCACCTAGAAGGAGTTCCCCAAAAAGAGGCTCATTTAAGAAGTTGTCGCCCAGAAGGGATGGGCGAAATTCGTTCCGAGGGGGACGAGAAGATCGCTGGCAAGGGCGACCCCGGCTACCAAATGGTCAAAGATATAACAATTTCACTCCCATCAACGCTCAGGTGAGCGAAGTTTTGGCCGCCATCAAGGAGAAGCTTGAGAGCAAGAAGGTAACGTGGACGGCGACGAGGTTCGAAGGACTAACCAAACCCAGATCGAATAAATACTGCAGATTTCATAGAGAGTATGGACATAACACGAACGATTGTAGACACTTGAAGGACGAGATCGAGCGTCTTATACGGGCGGGACACTTGAAAGAGTTCGTCATCCGTGATCGACCGCGGGGTAAAGAAAGGAGAAGGTGTAGGGAAGATTCAGTGGCAAGGAGTGATAGAGATGATGATAGAGAAGACGACGCTAGAAGAGAGAGGAGGGGACGACAGGATGATGGTCGAGAAGACCCGAGAGGGGAAGCGCCTGCGAAGAGGGGCACAATTTATATGATCTTAGGAGGGCCCACGGATGGAGATTCAAACAATGCACGAAAGGGGCATGTGCGAGATGTGAAGCGCAAAAGGGAAGAGGTCAGGATAACTGGTCGAATGCCGGTGATTAGCTTTCGGGCAGAAGATGCGGAGGGGGTCTTGCTACCCCACAATGACGCACTGGTCATCACTGCAGAGGTAGCTGGTTTTGACGTGAAGAGGGTGTTCATCGACACGGGAAGCTCGGTCGATGTGATGTTTTATGACTGCTTCGCGCAGATCAACAAACATTTGAATTTGGAGCTGAAACCGGTAGCGACAACCTTATATGGTTTTAACGGAGGGAAAGTGATGCCAATGAGCGAGGTGAGTTTGACTGTAGCATTGGGGTTGGGCAATACAAGGAAAGTAAGGATGATACGGTTTGTAGTGGTTGGTGCGGAGTCGTCTTATAATATCATTTTGGGACGGACAGGGTTGAACGCGTTCCAGGAGGTCGTGTCTACATACCACATGACGATCAAATATCCTATGGGGGAAAATGTGGGCGAGATCGCTGGGGACCAGCTCACGTCGAGAAGTTGCTACCAAACTACAGTCAGCAGTAACAAGCAAATGGCAGAAAAGCAATTGAAAGGCAAGGAAGGAAGGCCCGATCGACCAGGAGGGTCGAGATCGAAGGAGGAAAAGAGATGGGAAAATAAAGGATAGGAGAAGATAGACATACAACCCGGGGGCGAGGTTGAAGAAGTTCAGATGGTGCAGGGGTGTGATGATTGCAAGTTCAGGATTGGGAAAGACTTGGGAGAGCCCATCAGGTCGAAACTGGTCAGACTGATAAGGGAGTTCGCAGACATGCTTGCGTATACGGCAGATGAGCTAACAGGGATTGAAGCTAGGGTGATCGACCATAGTCTGAATATTGATCTCAGCGTGAGACCAGTAAAACAGAAAAGGAGGCATCATGGCGTGGAAATGGACAAAATTATAGAGCAGGAGGTTGATAAGTTGTTGAATGCCAGTCATATCAAGAGAATCCAGTTCCTATAGTGGTTGTCCAACACGGTGATGGTGTCCAAATCAGGTGGGAAATGAAGGATGTGTATCGACTTCCGCGACCTGAATAAGGCTTGCCCGAAGGATCTATACCCACTACCACGGATCGACCAGCTGGTAGATTCCACTGCGGGGTGCGAACTGCTCAGTCTCATGGATGCCTCACAAGGGTACCAACAAATCCCCTTAGCAAAGGAAGATTGGAAGAGGGTGAGCTTCATAACGAGCAAATGCACTTATTGTTATGTGGTTATGCCGTTTGGATTACAGAACGCCGGGGCCACATACCAAAGGCTAGTCGAGCATATTTTCAAAGACCAGTTGGGAAGAAATATGGAGGTATATGTCGATGACATGCTAGTTAAGAGAAGGATGGAGGCGGATCATGTGGGCGACCTGAGGGAGACCTTCCAAACACTGAGGAGATATGACATGAAGCTTAATTCAGCCAAGTGCTCGTTTGGTGCAAAGACAGGGAAGTTCTTAGGATATATGGTGAAAAAGCGGGGAATAGAGGTGAATCCTAAGAAGGTGAGAGCGGTGACAGAAATGAAGCCACCTGCCAGTGTGAAGGAGGTCCAAATACTGACTGGTCGAATAGCAGGGCTAAGCAGATTCATCTCTAAAGTGGCGGAGAAGAGTAGTCCTCTGTTCAGGACATTGAAGAAGACCTCGAAATTCCAGTGGATGGAGGAGGCCCAGAAGGCCTTCGAGGAGTTGCAGAAAGTGTTGGAAAACTTGCCCCTGCTAGCTAAGCCAATACTAGGGGAGGAACTCGTGCTCTACATATCAGTAGGCGAGAATGCAGTAAGCTCGGTGCTACTATGTGAGGAGGGGGTAGCCCAGTTCCAAATATACAATGTCAGTCGGGTAATGCAGGGAGCAGAGTTGAGGTACTCGGAGATTGAGAAATGAGCATTGGCGGTGGTCGTGACGGTTCGAAAGCTAAGGCCGTATTTTCTAAACCACAGAGTCAAGGTGCGAACAAACATGCCTCTGGAGCAGACTTTAGGCCGACCAGCGGCATCTGGTCGACTGGTGAAGTGGGCGGTCGAGCTAAGCGAATACTCTATCCTTTATGAGCCAAGAAGGGCGATCAAAGCCCAAGTTTTGGCCGATTTTATTCAGGAGGGTACGAACGAAGAAGAGCAAATGGAGGGAGTGTGGCAATTGTTCGTGGACGGCTCGGTTTCAAGAAGTGGAGCAGGCCTGGGCATAGTCTTGGTGTCGCCCAAGGGGGATTACTTGGAGTTTGCTGTCAAAATGGGGTGGCAGTGATAAAGGGGCTACAGCTAGCTCTGGACGGAGGTGCTCGAAAGATCCAGGTCCATTCTAATTCTCAGCTAGTGGTCGGACAGTTCCAAGAGGGTTTCGAGGTCAAGGAGGACAGGCTGCAGCGGTATGTTAGCAATATGAAGAGGTTGAAGGAAGAATTCAGGACATTCGAGCTAATGCAAATACCAAGAGGAGAGAATGGTCGAGCTGATCTGTTATCTAAAATCGCTCAGAATTTGGTAGAATGTAAGAGCAGAAGTGTGACCTTGCTCCACATGGAAAAAAGCAGGGTCGAAGCGGAGGTGGCAGAGATTGAAGAAGTAGAAGACTGGAGAGCTTCAATTTTGGGAGAGTTGAGAGAAGAAACAGTCAAAGTAGTAAGAAGGTTTTTCGAACAAGGGGGGATTCATTACAAGCGATCGTATGCCGGACCAAATTTGCGGTGTGTGGCCAAGGAAGAAGGTCGATATGTACTCAAGGAGGTGCACGAAGGATGTTGCAGCGACCACAACAAGGCCGGAGCCATGGTGGAAAAAATCATGAGAGCAGGGTACTTCTGGCCGACAATGAAGGTGGATGCCAAGAAGATGACCAAAAGATGCTTCCAATGTCAGAAACAAGGCCCACTCATCCACCAACCCGTTGAGACAATGACCACCATGAGCGCACCAATACCTTTCGCGCAATGGGGAATCGAATTGGTGGGGCCAATGCCGCAGGCAACAAGGCAACAAAAATTCCTGACTGTGGCAGTCGATTACTTTACGAAGTGGGTGGAAGCTGAGCCATTGGCCAAGATCACTGAGGAGAAAGTAATCCAATTTCTGTATAACAACATTTTTTGTCGGTTCGGGGTTCCCAAAGTCTTGATATCTGACAATGGAACTCAATTCAGTGGTAAGAGGGTGAGGGCGTGGTGTGAGGAAATGGAAATCGAGCAGCACTTTGCCTCAGTCGCCCACCCGCAGGCCAATGGGCAAGTGGAAGTGACCAACAGGATCATACTGAATGGGTTGAAGACAAGACTGGAAAAAGCCTCGGGGGCGTGGGTCGACGAGTTGACATCCGTACTCTGGGCCTACAGAACTACCCCGAGGTTGACCACTGGGGAGACCCCTTTCAGCCTGGTATATGGGATGGAGGCGCTGTTACCGGTCGAACTAGAATTGCAATCACAACGAATGAGCGCATATGACCAAGGACAGAATGAAGAACTCATGGTGGTCGCCTTGGACACGATTGAAGAACTCAGGGGACAAGCCTCGACCAGAGTGGAGATGTACAAACAATGCATGAGAGCAGCCCATGACAGAAAAGTGAAAATCCGTCGATTTCAGGTGGGCGACTTAGTCTGGAAAAGAGTGGACGTGCTCAAACATGTAGGGAAGCTGGAGCCTAATTGGGAAGGACCATACTTGGTCGAAAAAGTTCATGCAGGAGGAGCATATTCCCTGAAGGATTCGGAGGGCAGATCTCTAGCCAGGTCGTAGAACGTAGCCAATCTTAAAAAATATTATGTATAAGCATGTCATTTACAAGTTATGATTACTTTTTTTATGCTCGAGCAAATTGGATTAATGTAACCCCGAAGCGAATTTTGTTCAAGTATTGTCAAAATCATCAATTTCTATGGTTACAAATTGATTTCTGTTCGTATCTACCATTAATTTCTCACAACATGTCATTTACAAATTTGGTCTGATTTATTTAACGGCATGGTCAGTCCTTATATGTGGTCACACGGATCCTAAATTCAATATACATAATACAAGTCGATCACTTATACAATTTCTTTGGAATTTCTTGTTGGACGCACATGGAAGCACGAATGCAACCCTTGCCCGCCATCATTCGAAGTGAGAAGACCAAAGTCCTTCATTTTCGGAACATCCCGATCAAGGGGTGGGCGAAGGTCGCTTGTTTTGGGAACATTCCAAAGGGTGGGCATGTGGTCGACAACGTCCACGCCTCCGGGGTGGACAACCACAATATTTTTGGAACATCCCTTGGGGTGGGCAAGTGAGAAGACCAAAGTCCTTTGTTTTTGGAACATCCCGATCAAGGGGTGGGCGAAGGTCGCTTGTTTTCGGAACATTCCAAGGGGTGGGCATGTGGTCGACAACGTCCACGCCTCCGGGCAGGACGACCACAATGTTTTCGAAACATCCCTTGGGGTGGGCAAGTGAGAAGACCAAAGTCCTTCATTTTCAGAACATCCCGATCATGGGGTGGGCGAAGGTCGCTTGTTTCAGAACATTCCAAGGGGTGGGCATGTGGTCGACAACGTCCACGCCTTCGGGCTGGACGACCACAATGTTTTCGGAACATCCCTTGGGGTGGGCAAGTGAGAAGACCAAAGTCCTTCATTTTCAGAATATCCCGATCAAGGGGTGGGCGAAGGTCGCTTGTTTTTGGAACATTCCAAGGGGTGGGCATGTGGTCGACAACATCCACGCATCCGGGTTGGATGACCACAATGTTTTCAGAACATCCCTTGGGATGGGCAAGTGAGAAGACCAAAGTCCTTCATTTTCGGAACATCCCGATCAAGGGGTGGGCGAAGGTCACTTGTTTTCGGAACATTCCAAGGGGTGGGCATGTGGTCGACAACGTCCACGCCTCCGGGCTAGATGACCATAATGTTTTCGGAACATCCCTTGGGGTGGGCAAGTGAGAAGGCCAAAGTCCTTCGTTTTCAGAACATCCCGATTAAGGGGTGGGCGAAGGTCGCTTGTTTTCGGAACATTCCAAGGGGTGGGCATGTGGTCGACAACGTCCACGCCTCTGGGATGGATGACCACAATGTTTTCGGAACATCCCTTGGGGTGGGCAAGTGAGAAGACCAAAGTCCTTCATTTTCGGAACATCCCGATCAAGGGGTGGGCGAAGGTCGCTTGTTTTTGGAACATTTCAAGGGGTGGGCATGTGGTCGACAACGTCCACGCCTCCGGGCTGGACGACCACAATGTTTTTGGAACATCCCTTGGGGTGGGCAAGTGAGAAGACCAAAGTCCTTCGTTTTCGAAACATCCCGATCAAGGGGTGGGCGAAGGTCGCTTGTTTTCAGAACATTCCAAAGGGTGGGCATGTGGTCGACAACGTCCACGCCTCCAGGCTGGACGACCACAATGTTTTCGGAACATCCCTTGGGGTGGACAAGTGAGAAGGCCAAAGTCCTTCATTTCGGAACATTCCGATCAAGGGGTCGGCGA